AGGGACAGAGTGAGGACAGGAGCACAAGGCCATGGTGACCCACCAAGGGAGAGGACGCAGGTGTCCCGGTCCTGGCCCGGCCCCCGCACTCACCCCAGTGCTTGAGCAGGGCCTTGGGCAGCCCCCAATGCTCCACCCGGCAGTCGTAGTAGTCGCCCCGGGTGGGCACGAAGGGCAGGTAGGAGAACTTGCGGAAGGCGTTGTCCTCTCGTGGGTAGTAAACGGTCTCGAAGACACCGTCTACCACCTTCTGGCCGTTCTTCAGCCACGTGATGCTGATCATGGGTGGCCAGAACTTGTCCACGTAGCAGATGAGAACATTGGGGTCGCCCAGCTCCACAGGGTCCTCGGAAAACACTGTGACCTCAGGTGGCTCTAGGGAGTCAGGGAGGAGGTGTTAGGGCTGCTCATGCCCCAGTCCTGAGGTGAACATGAGCCCAAGTACCTGGGGCTGCACTGGGGCTCCTACTCATAGAGAAGGCGCCGGTGAGCCCCACAGCCCACCCAGGGACACCATCCAGAGGGGATGGGGTCCCAGGGTGTAGGAACAACTGCCCCAGCAGGGTTCTGCCTGTGGGAGGGCACTGGCTGTGCCACGGCAGGGCTGGTACCGATCGTGTCCTGGGAGCGGTTACTCCTCTTCATGGCAATCTCCATGTTGTGTTTCATTACATCTACGGTCTGCAGAGCTCCCTGGGCCTCGAAGCTGGCGAACTCCCCGAACTCAGGTAGGCGCCAGATGGTCTCCGCCTTCTCCAGATCCACGTGGAAGATCTCGTCCCCATCGAAGTCGAACATGAACTGCCCACCCTCCTGCTGCAGCGTCTCAGCCCGGTGATAAAAGTTAACCTGGGTCATCATGTTCCTCACTGGAAATGGACAGGCATGAGGGGAAGCTGTGGGGCTGCCCATGGGTCCTTGTGACCTTCCCCTTTGCAGTCCCTGAGGCCAGGGCCAGTGACAGGCCCGTCTGAGGGGACACAGAGACCTGGTCTGTCCCAGACTTTCTGTGGGATATGACAGGGATACAAGGGGTCAGGGACCCACTATGCTGCTCCCCACAGCATCCCCCACGTTGGGTGAGGACCTCAGAGACACCACAGCGGGATTCCCATGGTCACGGTATAACACCTGAGCCTCACTGCTGGGGCACTTGTGGGGGCAGGAGGGAAGGAGGGGATAACCATCGAGCCCCCCAGCACCACCTCACACCCACCCTGCCCTGGGATCCTGCATTGCACTCACTGGGTGCTCTGAGACACCCAGGGGACCCGGGGTCAGCCCAGAGCTCCCCGTGCCCCAACCCTGATCTGATACTAGCCCCCAACCGGCACCCTGTGCCCCCAGTCTGCCCTCACCCCACAGTCCAACCTGCCCCACGCACCTTTCACAGCCTCCGTGTCCTGCAGGACCAGCAGGGCAAGCAGGAGCATCGGGAAACCCCATCCTCCAGCCATGGCCTCTCCCAGCACCAGCAGCGAGAGCAGGACAGGGGCAGGCGTCACTCTCAGGGATGGGGAGCCCCGTGCTGGGGACCCATGGCCTGGGGACAGGCCCACCCTGCCTTAGTGCTCAGCCAATGGCAGGGAGCCCCCGCACTGACTCATCTGTTTCCAGGCAGAGTGGCAGCTCGGAGCACCCTGAAGAGCAGACAGACGGACGGACACCCCAAGAGGACCCCGCAGGGGAGCACAGTCACTCCCAGGGCTTGGCCACCCCTTGGGAGGGCTCTGGAGGTCGGGGGACAGCGGCTGCCCTGGGGCAGGGGCCTGCTGCTGGCAGCCTCCTTGAGGTCACTTCAAGAGCCTTGCTTGGGCGCCGGGACAAGTGTCAGCGGGAGCCCTGCAGGTCCCGAATCTGCCTGGTGACAGATGATGCTGCCCAGCGCCACCGTCCACTGGTCCTGGCTGGGGACTCCCCGTCCCAGTGCTGGGAGGACCTGGGCTGATACCCCGAGCTGGCAGCACTCAATTTGCTTGGGCTCTGGCGTATTCACAGCTTCCTCTGGAGCAGCCATGGGGACTGTCGGCGTGTCGGGGGCCGGGAGGTGCTGGGCTGGTGCGGTGCTGGGGGTGCTGGTGGTGCTGGGAGCCATTGGGTCTCATGGCGAGGAGACCACAGGTGAGTTGAACCCCACAGTGGGGAAATGGTCGGGGAGGGTCAGATCCCACAGACACCATAGAAGCACTCGGTTTGGAGCCTCCAAGGAGTCCTGTGCCCTCCTCAGCCCTTGTCATCGGAACTGGGACCCCCATAGCCATAATGGGGGCCAGGGGTGCCTGGGGAGAGTGATGTGGGGCACCCTGACCTGCCTCTGTCTGCACAACAGGGTATTTCCTCGAAATGGGTAAAGGTGACTGTCAGTACCTCAATGGCACCCAGCGGGTGAGGTATTTGAAGTGGTACATCCACAACCGGCAGCCGTGGCTGCACTTCGACAGCGACCTGGGGCACTATGTGGCCGACAGCCCCCTGGGAGAGCCGGATGCCAGATACTTCAACAGCCAGCCAGACATCATGGAGCGGGAACGGGCTGAGGTGGACACGGTCTGCCGGCACAACTATGGGGTGGCGACGCCTTCCGTCGTGGAGAGGAAAGGTGAGTGTACATCTGAGCCCTGGTGGTGGCAGCGCTGGGACGCCCCGACACCCTCCACGCCGCAGGTGGGACACCCAGAGGATGGCGCCAAGCCTGCTGGGATTATGGGAGGGGGAGTCCATGCCCTGTCACAAGAGTGTCCCTCGCGCCCTCCCTGGCCACGTGCTCCTCAGGGGAGCCCTGGACCGGGTCAGACCCGGTTCTTGGGGCCCATCACCATCTCCCAGCTAAGTCCGGCTCCTTTGCTCTCCTCCAGTTCAGCC